TGCCTTATACTGTATTTCGATTGAACCTTGCTGGTAGAGTTCTTACCGACTTTATGATGAAGATCCTGACTGAGACAGGTTGCAGTTCCTCTGTTTGTTCGTGGAACATACTCAGGCGCAAATCTCCGAACAACGTTTTGTTTTATAGTAAGTTACGAGTCCTAGGGAAAAGGGGAACATATAGGGAAACTGCGAATGCTTTGATTTTTGGAGGAGGCCAAATAGTAGCAGACTGTAGGTTAAATTTATGGATGTACAGGCGTACTGTTGTAAGTCCTGTGCTTCTCATTGGTATGGAGCGGTTAGTAAGGAGAGTCATAACAGGACTGTATTCTAAGGTGTCTTTGCGTAGCAAGAGGATTTTGGGGGCCAGTGTAACGGAAAAAGAACGATGAAAATCCCTTCGCAGCTTTTTTCTTGGACAGTATCGTCATTTATCTATTTCTTCTCCCTGCCGTGTATTTTAACCTTTGTTCAGACATCGTTTAACCACATCTTTTGTCCTTCAGTCTTCCTCGTTTGGGCCTTTGTTATGTGATTTTGATTAAAGACTTATCTTTCGTTACCTAATTTTTTTATTGCGTATTGCCGGACTATTAACAGCAAGGTCGTGTTTGACTAGGCTCAAGGTCACGTCGTGGTAAAGTGTGTGACTGTTAACCTTCTGACTGTCTGCTTGGGAGGATTGCTGTAATCCATGCAGATAGATATTTGATTCCATCTTGTTGGAAATACTTGTATTAATTCTCAGGTATCGAACCCTTTGGTATTAACTGGCTCTTTTATTGTTTAGCGCACTACTTTGCGTTAGAGAAACCTCTGACTGTATAGCACAGGCTGAATCGTTTGAGGTATTTCGTATTTTTGATGTAATTTGTTTTGTTTTCAAAATTAGAACTGTTTATACTAAGCACAGAGATTATGTTTTGATATAATATAATACGAATATCTCAAAAACGCATTGTGAGATATACAGAGGTACGTGGTCTGGTCTAATAGAATAAAATTTGGGTTCGTCAGTCTGTTGTTCCAACTGAATATTGGTTCTTCGGTCGCTACAAATATTGTCGGCAACACTTATATGAATTTTCATTGCGTTATCTCGCACTAGCAAAGCTCTTGACCATAGTGTTTGTGAATTTTCGCACTTTTATGTATTTTTTCCTTCCTTGACTTAAAACAAAATTATTTATTACAGGCAGCTAAAAGAGACTTTGTACACTAAACGAAAGAACATAGCTTTGGTCTCATCTAAACAGCTTTGATCAGTTGGGTTTGCGTTCAGACCAAATAATGGAATTTTGTCATCTAAGTAGTACATAGTGTACGAAGTTGCATTTTATTTAGGAGTAAAAAATGTGACATGGGAACAGGAACGTTAAAGTTGAATGAAATTTATGGTCGATAACAGTAACTGTATCAGTGAAATGAAACTATGGAAAATGTAAATCGTGAAGAAAATTATTTATGAATCAAGTCTGCATTAACTGTTTATGGAATTACTATGCATTATGATTTGGCAGTTTTTGTGTTTAGAGTTTTAATTGACTCTTCTTCTCAAGCGAACATACATATCATTATTATGATCGATCTCTCAACACATTAGATGATAATTTTTTCTCTCTCTCAATTCTTTTTATATGAACTTCACTCCTGACGATTCAAAGTTTAGAAAAATCATCTAATTTCGCATAACACTAAAAGCATCAGATCGAATTTTCATATTCACCTTATCTTCAGTAAGTAGAAGCGACATCTACAAAAATATAATTAACAAACACTACTTATAACTCACAATTGATTGATCACTGGGTGGTGGTCAATGTCATGTTTGTCTAGTTCTTATTAGTGCAGATCGAATACTATCGATCATGTTGCAATGTGGCCACCAGTTTAGGTGACTCAACACTGCGGGCACTGTGTATTGAGATTTAGGTGGTGGTTGGAGGTAGTCAACCCGGGTTTCGTGCTACTTGGCACTCGTCAGCACGTTGTACCTGTGATCTTGAGGGAACTGGTGCTCCCTGGCGGATTCGATCTCGTGTCACCCACCTTCACAGTCAGAAACGTTACCACTGAGCTATCCGTGACTAACCTCCTGTAGGACTGAGATGTAATCACAATTGATTGATCACTGGGTGGTGATCAATGTCATGCTTGTCTAGTCCTTATTAGTGCAGATCGAATGCTATCGATCGAATGCCAGGGAGCAGCAGTTCCCTCAAGATTACAGGAAACCAATTAATGGACAGTATAAGCTATGTTTACACAGTTAGCAGAACTAAAACGAACACTCCCAATAAAAATATGTTACGTATATAGCGTCACAGAGACTGTGAAAGTCGCTATTTCATCACAATTGAAGAAGTCGACGATTGTCTTTTTCTGCTAGGTATTGGAAATTTGACCTTATTTGACGGGAGTGTTTCAAAAGAGGCGGTGTTTTAGTGCTTCTTTTGATTATCATTGCATTTGTGTGCTTGTTGCATCAAAAAGCATCTTTAGTCTATATAACACGAAGCATTTAAATCAGGGTTTGAAATTTTCCTATTCTTCGCCGTAAGGTACCATTACCAAAAAATTACGGTTTCAATAAAGGCTGTTCCTGCTACACCGATCTCCTAACTTTGATGTGTAAATGCACAAGACTATCGATAGCAACGGCATTTCTCAAACTTTTGCTGTGTTCTTATGCAACAAAAGTCCCATTTCTGGTCTGAAGAATCTGTTCTGAGCTATACGTCCAGTAGATTACTTTTCTTTTTTGAGCTTTACCCAACTTAATAGTTTGATTTTTCAGTTTCTCACATCAATGCTAGTTTCAGTTTATCCCGAACTTTTGTACCACTCGTTTTAATCCACCTTTACTCGTATTTAGTGTACTGTTTTTTACGGTCATAGGCTTTTTCTAGGATGTATGAAACAATATACGTCATTGTTTCATTCTGCTATACTGAGGGGAGCAGATTTAATCCTAGCAACACCGCTCAGTGTGATGTTCTCACACCCACTGAGCCGAGGCACATTACCGGAAATTTGGAAGCTGGCTCACATCACGCCAACCTTCAAGCTACCGACCAGTGGCTCTTCTCTGCATACCTTCAAAAAATATTAGGTCCCTGATATGCGACGGCATACACGACTACTTATTTTCCTTGAACTTCTTTTCAACCCAACAACATGGTTTCAGGAGGGGTCGTTCTTGTACAACCAACCTGTTGACAGTGATGGACAGATGGACAACCATCCTTGATCGCAAGGGGAAGGTTGATGTCATTTAACTTGACTTCTCAAAAGCTTTTGATAGGGTCTAATTGATTGGTGTAAGATCCAAACTAAGGTTTGGACTGATGGACAGCTGATTAGGTGGGTTAGATACGTGCTTTTGCCCGTTTGAAACCAAAACAAAGTAATTGGGTAAAATGACGGTTCTATAATTCGTAAATTTAAATGTACATTGTTACCTAAACAAATATGACCGCTCAGCTATCCAACCAATATTTGTTCGATTAATCAAATCAATCACAACAAATAGATGTTATTCTATCCTGCCTGGATAGACCACGCACAGATTCGTTCAAAAGATAATATTTGGTCGCCACATAACACAGTGTTTCCAATTCTGGAAGAGTGCCTCAATTCACAACCAAAAATGCACGATTCCAGTCACCACAGGTAAAGCAACCGAAAGGAGGAACAAACCAATATGGATGCCGCCAAGACTAAGTATAAAGTAAAACAACATAAGTGCAATTCGGGAAGAAACACGGAAACTTAGTGAAGGCGTAATAAAAATAAAAACTATGATAAAAAACAAATATTAACAATTCAAATGTAATAAAAAACTAACAATGTATAGCTAAGGGGATCAATAGGAATAAAGTGCAAGTATATAAATGGAGAGATTTTCACACACACGCAAAACATTCAAAACGGATCTTACAATTGGTTCATTTAATATCTAAAAATATCGACATTTTAAGGTCACGGTTAAATTCAATTTTTCTCAGACTAGGACCTCTTCTTTTCTTGATTTATACGAACGATTTTCCACAGCAGGTACCATCTGACTTATTGCTTTTTGCTGATGATGTGACATTTCGGAGAGAGATACTCAACCAAGAGGATATTCTGACACTTCTGGAGGATCTGATTCGACTTCAAAGTTGGGCAGATGACAATGGACTTACCTTTAACACCTCACAGTGTAAAGTAGTCCACCTGAAACATGTTGCAGACTACGGTTACAATTTAGGAAACTCCTCTCTAGAATTATCCTAAGTTGAAGGAGATTTACGAGTGCTGGTACCCTACGATTTAAAGTCTTATGCTAACTGTGACCAAAATGCCTTTCGAGCAAACATTGCACCGGTAACACTGAAGCACATTTTTGGCCAGTTTCATGGAACAACGTTTCACACAATCTTCAACAGTTTCATTCGTCTCTATTTAGAGCACAGAAACATGATGTTTCCTCCCTCACTACAAGAGGATAAGGACACCCTGGAACGCATCCAACTGTGAGCTACGAAATCAGTTCGGGGACTCGAATCCAAGTCTTATGCAGAGCGCCTTTAACCACTGAACCCATTAGAATACAGGTGTCTCAGAGGTGACCTTCTAGTGGCTTATAGTGTCCTTAACATGTCTGAACATCCCCTTAAACACCTACGTAAGTTTAGCTCCAACACAAACCTCAGGGGTAACACCCAGAAACTCCAGACACAACATAGCAGAATGGACTGTAGACACAACTTCTACTCCTTAAGAATTGTCAAATGCTGGAATTCGCTGCTGGCTGAGCTAGTCCAGGCGACTTTCCAGGAGTCCTTGAAGGGAAAACTTGACATATTCTTAAGGTTTAAGGATAGAATCTTACTATGATTAACCAATTTTTCTTTTTCCTCTTTTATCGACAATACACCTAAGTTCCTGTCTGGAGTTATTAGCGATCCACTGCTACTAGACACGAAAGCTCGTTAAGCGAAATCTTCTATTTCGTCCGCAACATTTGAACCACCTGCGGACTGAGCAGTGACCTTGGCAATAATTTTGTCATATTGTCGTGGACGGTTTATGGTTTCTTTGGTTTGTGGTTTGTTGATGTTGATGTTTACAGTGTGTCTTAATTTTATGAATTTAGTATATGGTTGACAGTTTTCACAATTTCACGTTTGTTGGCTGGGAAGCAAAAATGAGAGTGCAACCTTAAATTTGTTATTGCATTCAACATTACACCGAAAGTCAGTGATGATCATAGATTTGCCCAATCCATAATTTTCGTCTGTTATCTGTAAGTTCATTTTAGTCAGAATAATGGAACGTGGAGACTTAGTTATCATCGGGCAATTAAGCATGTGCTGAGGTACTCATGTACCTGACTCGGGCAATATATATGGAGGTGTGTAATGCTGCACACTTAGTGCTAAGTAGTCGGGATAGTAAGGAATAATTTATGATGCTAATTAACAACTGGTTTCTTGTCGCTACATGGACGATAACTGCCATAGCAGTTGCTCAAGGTCGGAAATTCTTTCTCTAGGAAACAGTACCACACCATCATTACTTACCTTTACTAAAGATGTTTCCAGAACGTCATTGATGATAAAGTTGAGGATAAATAAAAAGATTGAGCAACTCTCCTTAATGTAACTGCTTGAACAGCAGGATTGTTCGCATGCTCCCACTCTGGCTGAGGTGTTTGTTCGTATAGCGTTCAACATGTTAATCAGCTTCTCATGTACAGCCTCCTTTAACAGACAATTCCAGAGTGCTGTTCTGTTTAACAAATCAGTGGAGAAACTGGTACCAAAAAACAAAACGGTTGTTGGCCTGTAATCAACATAGCTGTGCTTTAACATTTTGTAGGGAATGTATGTATAACCAATGAATCCACGACCAGAATGAACTCCAGACTACTCCTTGCAAGTTAATCTTTTATGGGTCTTGGACGATCTGTGAAACTGGTGACTCACGGTAGTTCGGAAGTTGAAGTTTCTCGTGGACTTTGGCATCGTCAGGTAGAACAGTCATCACCGGCCGTTGAGGATAAGGCAGTCTGATGTTTTGAGCGGCAGACTAGGTGAACTGTCTCTTTAGGAACTCTGCCAATCCTCCAAGAGATCGTTGGGCGCTGTTAACTAGCGTCTTGTCAGCTTTACATTTCTTTTTTAGCCCTACCGCCCAAACCGAGGGGGTGTATGTGATCACTTCCGCTCAGTCTTCAGGTCTAAATTTGAATTTGTTTTGAAATGTCTCGTGTCAGTGCTTCCTGTATACTTTTTGCGTTATCTTCCCGGGTTTCTTGTCACTTTTTTATTTAGATCAACTTGACGGTTCGCCAATACGGGGGTTCTTAAATGTGTATTTTTCAAACCACCTAAAAATAACGGTTTGGGGATCTTTGCAAAATATATATTGTTTACATAATGGACTTCACAGTACCCCGAACATACTATACAGAATGGTGGAATATAAATACACATCGCTGCAATCATATCAACAGACCGCCTGTTAACCAGGAAATGTATGGCTACGGTCGTTCTTTTGTTGCCGACTGGGCTCGTACTGGTGCTGTTAGCATAAGTCATGTCTCCGATAAATTCCAGGTAACTTATTGCGTTCTGCAGTTGGTAAATGATATACTCAGAATAATTTTGTGCTTTTTGTATATTCTTATCAAGCTGGCCAGCTTCATAACTATCTCGTTGACTATAAATATTGAGTAAGTAGGGATTTAGTGTACAAGACATTTTACAGCATTTAATTTTTTTTATCAATATTACTATAAATACAATAAAGTTAATTGTCAATACCTTCAAATACAACAGATTCAAATGTGACACTAATAGGTGATTGTCGTGAAATGGAAATACTGTGTTAATTAGACCTTTTATTCTAAATTATAATTCGGTAAACACGTCTTTGATAATATTTCCATGGCCACTAACCCGGTTAAAGCACAGGCAAATGTCCGGCACGTTAACCAGGTTGGTGAAAATAGAGGATCCACCTATGGGAGTTGAAAAACCCTGATTCCAAACCAGTGATGCACATGAACTCCAGGATCCATAGGGAACAAATGACATATGAACCTATTGTTGGTCACTGGCGACCATGCGACTGCATCTCCTTACGCTTCTTCACTGCCTTGTGGGTTAGACCTTCAGGTCAAAGGCTCCGGTCGTAGCTTTCTAAGAAAACCACCTACTTCGTTTTGGGCACCCGGGCAGTATCCCAAGCTCTTACACAAACAAATGATAACTACTACTGGCCTCATTGTTATTGTGTGGCGTATATGTGTTTGGTGCCTCCTCGTACTAGTGTTGATGTGTTCAAATAAATAAAATAAAATGTAACACTTTCTGAGTGTTTCATTCTTTAAAAGGTTCTTCCAAACAAATAAAAGCAAGACATTATATCTAGGAGTATAATTTCCCCATGTTTTTACATGTTTTGACTGACTGGGTTCGAGTCCTGTGTGTAGGATCGCGGATGCGCACTGCTCATGGTTCCCATCCTAGGACGAAACGGCCGTCCAGTGCTTCCAGGTTTTTAATGGCGGTCTAACATTTATCTACTCGTAATGTCAATCTAAATCTCAAATAATCGGTAAAGCATACAGTCTAGAATGCCTGTTTCTGTGTGATTACGGTCAGACAATTTTGTGATATTTTTATGTATATTCTCTTCATCTAGATTGAAAGTCAAATGTCTACAAAGCTGGTTGGTAAACTTCAATATTTTCATAACCCTGTTCCTTTATTACCAACACACTACTCATATTCATTATCAGGAACTAATAAATCTTCGTTTAATTATGATCAACAACTCGAAGGGGAAGAAAGAGGAAAAAATAAAAAACTGGTCGATTCATCTACTGTTCGGGATTACGGTTATGAACAGTTGTTGAACGATTTTATTCTCGGTGAACAGGCGTGTGCAGCATTTTTATGTGGTAAACTCCAAGGATTATTACGTGCCAATATTTCCAAGTTTATGCAAATCAGTCATAATGTCAATGGGAGAAATGATGATGTTATTGTCGCCGATGCAAAATACAATATTTCACATCATTTTATTGAACAGTTATTTAATATGTCTGAAAAAGGATTGAATGACTGTGATTCAGTCGATTCACAGAATAAATTAATTAAAAGAATACAAAAATTAATTGTTTCAGGCACAAAATCAACAGATTCTTTTCCTGGATCTTTATTATCGTCACTTAATGCAAATTCTACCTCCGGGACTGCTATTGTTGGTAACAACCAGCCGTCAACAAAACGACGCCGGCTAACAACAAAGCCATCAAAAGTAACAAAGGCTACCGCTGTCGAGATTGGTGAAGGTGTTGATATTAGTGCATCTGGAAAATCAGAACAGTTACTACCTTGTACTATCGGTAGACTTCTCTACCCAGCTTATTCATCATTGTCCTCATCCATATCGTCATCATCGACAACATTGTGTGGGTCAGATAATTTAACACTTGAATCTGACTATAGTAGGCTATTAGCATCTTTTGATCCATTAGTTATCAGATTAGCAAGTCGAATTGTAAATCCGAATTATCTCGGGAATGGTTTATTATGCAATGTAAGGACACATAACTATCAATCGTCTACAAATCATTCCGACATACTTTTATGGTATTCACTTCAAACAAATTCATTCTGTATTGGCAAAACATCGAATCTGTTGAAAACTAATATTCATGAATCAAATCGTTTCTCAATTATTCCCATTCCATTGACAAAACTTTCATCTAGATCATTTTGTGAGCTTGATGCATGTTTTAGTGAGTCAAGTGAGAAAATCGATATAGTCTGTCGTTTATTACCAACACCAAGCAGTAAGACAAATGTTGTTCGTATGCAAATTAAGATAAACGAATCGAACATGTCTAATTCATGTATTGAAAACGTTAGTTTAATACGTATGCCATCAAGTAATTATGTTACCAGTATATGCATGAGTCGATGGATTCCAGGGGAATGGTGTATGGTCGGTAATTATCTGGACGGAAAAAGAGATCGTAGAGCTAGTATTCGGTTGTATAATTCAGAAGATACTCGACTTCCTATGTGGTCTGGTCACGTAAATCTAGGCAATTATATGGAAAATATAACAAAGGAAAACTCATTGTGTTTGGAAAATATAGCATCATCGTCATATAAACAAGATCCGGTTCAATCAGATATTGAATCTTATTGTACATGTACATCACGGAAACATCTTCTACACCAGCATTATCCCAATTATCATTGGTTACGTGTAGGATTTGGAAGTTATCCGGGTGAATTGTGTCTAACAACCACACGTCGTATCCTAATTTTTGACACCCGTACAGCACCATCATGTGCTTACCAACTGTTCAACACTTCAGAACGCTCGTCTTTATTAAATTCAAATGATCATATAACATATTCCCCACCTAAGTGGATCGGTGATGTATATGTTTTAACTGGTGGTTACTATAGTATGGTTCTACTGGATAAACGTATGCCCAATCGAACTGTATTACATTGGTCTCATAATCTTGCGAAACCGTTGGCGTATCTTACTTGGACCGAAATAGATAGGCATTATCGTTCAACGCATGATATCCCACAATTTCTTGTTTCTATGACTTCTCAATACCCCGCAGATATGTCTACATTTGGATTGAATTTCAATTCTTTCTCAGGTCCCCAGTATATTGGCCCGTGTCTATCCGGGACGCCACTAACAAGTTTGGTTTCATCATTTCGATCTAATGATCTCTTTCAATTCTACAATCAAAATCCACTGCTTAAGCGACGTTTACAAAGTTCTATTTGCGGAATTACAACACATTATTCACCAGATGATACAAAAAAACAATTTCATACATTGTTACTCACACCATATGGAGATCTATTCGATTATTGTGCTTATCTGACATCAAATGGTAATAATACTAATGATTATGACGTTGTAGAGAGCTATCAAGTCAAAAGTCAAACAATTATTACAAATTGGTTATCTGAACTTAGTTGCGAACCTGAGAATAAACAGCATGTTAAAAATTCTGAAGAGAATGCAAAGTTAGACAAACAGTCGGAGCTCAAAAATCATACAGGCACTTTAAACCTAAACAATATTGTTTCTGAACGGAGGCAAAGCGTTACAAATAAATTGAATAACGAGTCTGTTGGAGAGGAAAGTACTACTGATAGTAATACTAATAATAATGATTATTTCACTTTAAAGCGTCGCTTAAATACATCAGAATCATTTAATAATAGTTCAATGGAATACTCAAAATGGTTATTAAGTGATTTAAAATCGATATGGGATTATGATCAAGGTGAAAAATTAAAATATGAGGATCAAAATGCATTAGGATTCACTTCAATGTTTTTTGATAGTTTAACCGAAAATCGTATGCAAGAGGAAATGATTCATCAAAAACTAATTACTAACAATGATTTAAATGAATTATTAGATCAACGTTTAGTTAAATTTAAAAAGTTATATATTGCTAATCCTTTTACTAAATCTGTAGGCGATTGTAATGAGAGGTGGCCATGTATGTTGACGCCAGTATTGCCTGAAGAATGTGTAACATCGTTATTTGAATCTGAGTACTATACTGCCGAAGAACATTAAAAGTCTACTTAATGTTTCGTACATAATATATATAAAAATACGATCTGGAAGCAATTTATTATATATATATATATATATATGTTGTACATAACAAAGTGAAAATAAATGCAGTTTTTTCTCTGTAAATTTTCATCTTCTTTGTAATTTTGTTGACTTTATAACCGTTCAATTAGTATCTGCTTGCTTTTTTCTTTTTTATGAAGGGGGATATAAATATTCATTTTGCCATCAAAGTAACATGTCTTCACTAGTAAGTCATTGGAAACGATTTATATCAGCCTGTTCTACCCCTGCTACTTCTGTTGGTAGTAATAGTGGGCCATATTTAGCGTCAAATTCGAGTGGAAGTGGTAGCAGTGGTGTTACACCTGCATCACAGAATTCCTTTCAAAAGTCTTCAGTTGAGTGGGAATGTCTTAATGAGACAGTGAATTTGCTCTTAAAAACATGTCCAGTATCACGATCAGCTATTTTAGATCATTTAGCTCCACTCTACATTGATTATTTTGTCACTTGGTGGCATGTCAATTCTGGGACTGCTACTAATCGTAATATAAACTTCGAAAGTCAAAATTTGCATAAAGCTGAAATTGTACTTCAGGGATTGCTTAAAACGGTAAGTGATCATGAGGTCAAACGTTAACCAATGTTTATTGGTATATATATATATAATTCTCCACTTCACTTACGCCTATTACCCTTCGAGGAGTAACATGGGCCGCCGACCAGGATTTTCCATCTAACTCTGATTTGGGCAATCCTGTCCAGTCCTTTCCAGTTGTTGTTCATCCTTTTGATGTCCGCTTCCAATTCCGGAAGCGATATGCTCCGTGATATTCCTCTTTTTTCCCTTCAGGATTCCAATTCAACGCTTGCCTCGTAATGCAATTTGATGATTCACTCAATTTATGTCCTAACCACCTCCAACGTCTTTTCCTAATTTGTTCGGGTGGAACCTGGTTTGTTCTCTCCCTCAGTAGGTTGTTGCTAATGATATCCGGCCTACGTATATGGAGTATCTTGCGCATACAATTATTTATAAATTCTTGTACTTTTTGATGATTGTGGTAGTTCTTCAAGTTCCAGCTCCGTATAACAGAACTATCTAGATGTTTGTATTAAAGATTCTGACTTTGGTATTGGCTGAAAGTTATTTTGGGTTCATTTGTTCTTCAGTTATAGAAATACTTCTCTTTGCTCCTCCAATCCTTGCCTTCATATCTGCTTCAGACGCTCCTTGCCTATCGATGACGCTGATCAGATATTCGGACGTTTCTCCATCTTCCAGAGCTTCCCCATCAAGTGTGATTTGGTTGTTGCTCGCTGGGTTGTATTTCAAAATCTTGTTTTACCCATTTTATATGTTGAGTCCTGTTGTTGCAGAGGCTACTGAAACACATACTGACTTCACCTGTATTTGTTGTTGTGTATAAGGTTAAAGCGCTAGGTCACCTGCAAAGTCCAAGTCGTCTGGCTCCCGACCATTACTACTATCTTGACGTGGTGGCTGGGCTTGCCTGTCTTGATGAACCGATCGGGTTATACTGGCTGGAATAATCGTTGCTCAAGGTCCCACCATGCTAGACAGATCGGTTGAAGAACGGTAATACTAAAAGCAGCAACCCAAGGCCAGACGACAAAGTCGTACTGCTGACTGTACATAGTTGTGTTGGCATTAAGGTGTTCCTTTTAGACAACCAGCATAACAACGATATCACCTTCCCACAACCCGGTTAAAGCTCCGGACATTCACTTTTCGTTCTCTTAATTTTGCAAACTACACCGCCGCCACGAGAAGTCACTGAGTAGGACTTCCCCGGGAGTGGCTGTGTACGCATGGCCATGTGAGGGCATTTCGAGTGAGAGAGCTGACCCTCCTCTCTCTCGGCCGTACCAGGGCATTTTGGGACACGGAGGGTCCACCTAGGGGAGTTGGGAAGCCCTAATTCCAAACTAATGGTACACATGGGCTCCAGTATCTTAAGGAGCAAGTAACGTAGGAACCAGTCGTTGGCTACTGGCTACCATGGGACTGCATCTCCTTACGCTTCTTCACTGCCTTGTGGGTTAGACCTTCAGGTCAAAGGCTCCGGTCGTAGCTTTCTAAGAAAACCACCTACTTCGTTTTGGGCACCCGGGCAGTATCCCAAGCTCTTACACAAATCAATGATAACTACTACTGGCCTCATTGTTATTGTGTGGCGTATATGTGTTTGGTGTCCCTTTGTACCAATATTTATGTGTTCAAATAAAATCAAATAAATGCTCCCCACTAAGTGTTACCAAGGCCAATAACTATAGTGCGCAAAATACTGACCCAAGTCTACTGTGACATCGCTCCAAACTACACTACAAGCTGCAATAAACCAACGATGACCTCAAATTGATCATATTGCCATCAGGCATAGTTGAAAAGGTTCGATAGAAGACTGCCACTCGTTCTCGAATACATGTTTAGACTCTGATCATGCCCTAATCGGAGCAAGGATTTGCTTGTTCTTCACTGGACGCATGAAAGCCACATTAAGAAGACTCATTAGAGTTGGACTCAGTGATGGGAAAGTCCAAGCTGAATTCCATGAACAACTGAGGTCACACTTGGTTTGTTCTGAAACAAGGCTGACTCAGATGTTGCTTGTAAAGATATACGAGCAGCTGTAGAAACAGCAGCGGCATCTATTAGTGATTTGAACCGTAAGATCACTGAAATTTCCACAACATGGTGGTCTTTCTTGACTTGAAAGCACCATTGGACCCTGCAGACTGAAAAGTTCTGTGACAGTGCCTGTCATTGAACGGTGTACCTCAGAAGTACATAAACATCATGAGGGCTCTTTACTCGAACACTACCAGTCGAGTCAGAGCTTATGGAAAACTGTCATCTGATCTTGCAACCTTAAGTGGTGTCCGGCAAGACTGTCCACTATCTCCATTTGTGTTTAATTTTATCATAGACATACTGTTGGAAACAACGTTCTCGCCGTCTGGATTTTCAGGAATTTATTTCCTACCAGAAGATCCACTTATCGAGTTAGAATACGCAGATGACATAGTCCTGTTTGGTGAAGACTGATAAATTGCAGTATTTTGGTAGCACTGAGCAACAATCCCAGGATGTTTGGGATGCGTTTCTTCCCCTCTAAATGCAAGTTGTTGATTGAGAACTGACCCTCATCAACACCTGAATTACAGATTGGGAGTGATGAAGTAGTCGAACGCGTCGACAACTTCACTTATTTTGTAGGTCTGATCAGCCCTAATGGGTTAGTGTCTGATGAATTCTCTACACGGATTTGATATGCTCGTTTGCCTTTTGCCAACTTACATCATCTATGGCGAAGGCGAAATATCCGTCTATCAATTAAAGGACGAGTATATCGCACGGTAGTTCGTTCTGTCCTAATTTACGGCTGCGAAACGTGGCCATTAAGAGTACAAGATACTCGTAAGCTACTATTTGATCACAGATGTCTTAGAAATATTGCTCAAATCTGCTGGGATCACCGGTAAGTAATAGTTAAGTTAGACACGGGATATTAGGGGATTATGGTAAATCAGTTGATGAGGTTGTGAATCTCCATCGACCGAGATGATTGGGCTACGTGTTACGTATGACTGAACTCCGACTACCACGACGCGCAATGCTGAATAGTGTTGGGGATGGTTGTAAGAATGTTAGGGGCGGTCGAACCAGAACATGTTATCAGTTCTTGAAGTCACTAACTTCTAGTCTGAGTCATGTTGGTAGATGCAGACTACTTGTTTGGGGTCTGCGCGACTATCGTAACCAATGGCTGGAAACTCTGGGTGACATGGCTCAGAATCGTTCGCAATGGCGTTGGTGTATACACTCTCGGTCTTCCCTTAAACCGTGAGATTAAAGTTGCTTTATATCTTTCTTTCTACAAACTAATTCTTTTTCCTGTACTGTATCCTTATATGCAATCTTTCTTTTGTACATTTCTACCATTGAAATGACTACTTCTATAAGTTTGGTATCCGTCTTGTTGTGCTAATGAGGTATGGCTACTTGAACTGATGCATTTATGTGTTTGGTTTTATTATGTGACTAACCAACTGAAATCGACTTGCTGCATCCAAGCTGTCCATCATATTCTGTGCTTCGCCTGAGATGTGAAGGCCTTCATTATCCAGTCAACCAGCAGAAGAGCGAGAGAGTCAATATCATTGTCTGACGCCGATATTTACTCGGATCGCATATCTGAGCTGGCCTACATACACGATTTGTAGTGTGATCTATCGTAAGAATTCCGTACGATGGTGAAAATTTTCTCGGGTACACCGTAGTGTCGAAGAATTTTCCACAAGATTCTCCTATCTACACTGTCAAATGCTTTACCATAGTTATGAAGTTTGATGTATGGCGACGAGTTACATTCACTTGATCGTTCTACAATGATCACTGGTGTCGCGATGTGGTCTGTAAACTATCGATCCTAACGGAATCCGGCCCGTTGTTCTCGAAGTTGAGCGTCCACTGAATCTTTCGTCTGGTTCAACAACACTGTTGAAAACCTTTCCTGATACTGATAGTAGTGTGGTACCTCTGTAGTTCTCACACTTACTGAGTCACCTTTCTTTGTTACTTTGATGAGGTATCCCACTTTCCAGTCTATCGGCACTTGTTCATCCTCCTAAATCCTCTTGAATAGGATGTGTAACAGGTTTGCAGTTACTTCTATGTCTGACGTCAGTACTTCAGCTTGTATGTTGTCTGATGCTGTTGGTTTTCGACTGTTGATTTGTCTGGTGGCTATGCTGATTTTTCCTATTGTTTGTGGGTTGACATCTATGGAGAGGTTTGTGTATGCTGTTTCGATGTCTAGTGGTTTCAGTGAGTCTGGTCTATTTAAGAGTTCTTCAAAGTGTTTTATCCACCTGTTCCACTGTTCTCGAATCAGTGATTTGCCTTCCATCTTTATGCTTGACAGTTAGTTTTAATTGCTTACTTCATCAGTTTGGTGTATCTTATATCTTCCTAAAAATTTCTGTAGACGGTGTTGTTATTGATGAGTTTAAGAATATTTGATGTATGATGCTGAAATGCTTTCCGAGCAATTCATGAGGAAACCAGAAAACAGTTCATTTGTATGAAATACAA